CCTTTTACCACCAGCTGATATATGTTTACACCTGTGTGTAGGGGGGGTGTCATATTTCCGAAGAGTGCAGAAGGCTGTGTGATGTGGGTTCACGACACCCTTTTACCACCAGCTGATACATGATTACTCCTGTATGTAGGGGGGAGGAGGGTTGTCATATTGAAAAGGGTGCATAGAGCTGTGTGATGTGGGTTCACCCCACCCTTTTACCACCAGTGATATAAGATTACTCGGTAGGTAGGGGGGGGGAGGTTGTCATGTTTGAGAAGAGAACAGATAGCTGTATGATGTGGGTTCACCACACCCTTATATCGCCAGCTGATAAATGATAACCCCTGTCGTGTAGGGGGGGGGGTTGTCATGTTTGAAAAAAGTGCAGAGCTGCGTGATGTGGGTTCACGACACCCTTTTACCACCATCTGATATAAGATTACTCCTGTTTGTAGGGAGAGGGGGAGGGGGGGGGGTTCATTTCTGAGAAGAGTGCAGAAGGCTGCGTGATGTGGGTTCACGACACCCTTTTACCACTGGCTGAAATATGATTAAATTTGTGTGTAAGGGGGGGGGTGGGGGAGGATTGTCACGTTGAAAAGGGTGCAGAGAGGTGTGTGATGTGGGTGGACGTACACCCTATTACCACCAGCTGATATATGATTACCCGCGTGTGTCGGGGCGGGTTGTCACATTGAGAGTAGTGCAGAGAGAATGGTGATGTGGGTTCACCACACCCTTTTACCGCCAGCTGATATATATTACACATGTGTGTAGGGGGGGGGGGGTTGTCATATTTGAAAAGGGTGCAGAGAGCTGTATTTGGGGTGCATGTACACCCTTTTACCACCAGCTGATGCATGATTACTCCTGTGTGTAGGGGGGGGGGAGGATTGTTATGTTTGAGAAGAGTGCAGAGAGCTGTGTGATGGGCTTCACCACACCTTATACCACCAGCTAATATAAGATTACTCCGTGTGTAGGGGGGGGGGGAGGGTTGTCATGTTTGAGAAGAGTACAGAGAGCTGTGTGATGTGGGTGCATGTACACCCTTGACCACCAGCTGATATAAGATTACATTTGTGTGTAAGGGGAAGGGTGGGTGGAGGGTTGTCACGTTGAAAAGAGTGCAGAGAGGTTTGTGATGTGGGTGGACGTACACCCTTTACCACCAGCTGATATATGTTTACACCTGTGTGTAGGGGGGGGGGGTGTCACATTTGAGAGGAGTGCATAGGGGCTGTGTGATGTGGGTTCACGACACCCTTTTACCACCAGCTGATATAAGATTACTCTGTTTGTAGGGGGATGGGGGGGTTCATTTCTGAGAAGAGTGCAGAAGGCTGCGTGATGTGGGTTCACAACACCCTTTTACCACCAGCTGAAATATGATTACATTTGTGTGTAAGGGGGGAAGGGGTGGGGTGGAGGGTTGTCACGTTGAAAAGGGTGCAGAGAGGTGTGTGATGTGGGTGGACGTACACCTTTACCACCAGCTGATATATGTTTACACCTGTGTGTAGGGGGGGGGGGTTGTCACATTTGAGAGGAGTGCAGAGAGCTGTATTATGTGGGTGCATGTACACCCTTCTACCACCAGCTGATGCATGATTACTCCTGTGTGGTAGGGGGGGAGGATCGTTATGTTTGAGAAGAGTGCAGAGAGCTGTGTGATGTAGGTTCACCACCCCACCCTTTTACCACCAGCTGATATATGTTTACACTGTGTGTAGGGGGGGGGGGTAGGATGTTATTTTTGAGAAGAGTGCAAGAGCTGTGTGATGTGGGTTCACGACACCCTTTTACCACCAGCTGATACATGATTACTCCTGTGTGTAGGGGGGAGGATTGATATGTTTGAGAAGAGTGCAGAGAGCTGTGTGATGTGGGTTCACCACACCCTTATTCCACCAGCTGATATAAGAGTACTCCTGTGTGTAGGGGGGGGAGGGTTGTCATGTTGAGAAGAGTACAGAGAGCTGTGTGATGTGGTTCACCACACCCTTTACCAACAGCTGATATATGTTACACCTGTGTGTAGGGGGGGGGGGGAGGATTGTTATGTTTGAGAAGAGTGCAGAGAGCTGTATGATGTGGGTTCACCACACCCTTATTCCACCAGCTGATATAAGAGTACTCCTGTGTGTAGGGGGGGGGGGAGGGTTGTCATGTTTGAGAAGAGTACAGAGAGCTGTGTGATATGGGTGCATGTACACCCTTTTACCACCAGCCGATATAAGATTTCACCTGTTTGTACGGTGCGAGGGTTGTCACATTTGAGATGAGTGCATAGAGCTGTGTGATGTGGGTACAACACACCCTTTTACCACCAGCTGATAAGATTTCTCCTGTGTGTAGGGGGGGGGGAGGGAGAGTTGTCATGTTTGAGAAGAGAGCAGATAGCTGTGTGATGTGGGTTCACCACACCTTTAACCACCAGCTGATATAGTTTACACCTGTGTGTAGGGGGGGGGGTGTCATATTCGCGAAGAGTGCAGAAGGCTGTGTGATGTGGGTTCACGACACCCTTTTACCACCAGCTGATGTATGATTACTCCTGTGTGTAGGGGGGGGGGGAGGATTGTTATGTTTGAGAAGAGTGCAGAGAGCTGTGTGATATGGGTTCACCACACCCTTTTACCACCAGCTGATATATGTTTACACCTGTGTGTAGGGGGGGGGTTGAGATGTTTGAGAAGTGCAGAGAGCTGTGTTATATGTGTTCACTACACCCTTATACCACCAGCTGATACATGATTACTCCTGTGTGTAGGGGGGGGGGGAGGATTGTTATGTTTGAGAAGAGTGCAGAGAGCTGTGTGATGGGGTTCACCACACCCTTATACCACCAGCTAATATAAGATTACTCCTGTGTGTAGGGGGGGTGGAGGTTGTCACGTTGAAAGGGTGCAGAGAGGTGTGTGATGTGGGGGACGTACACCCTATTACCACCAGCTGATATATTTACACCTGTGTGTAGGGGGGGTTGTCACATTTGAGAGGAGTGCATAGGGCTGTGTGATGTGGGTTCACGACACCCTTTTACCACCAGCTGATATAAGATTATCCTGTTTGTAGGGGGAGGGGGGTTCATTCTGAGAAGAGTGCAGAAGGCTGCGTGATGTGGGTTCACAACACCCTTTTACCACCAGCTGATATGATTACATTTGTTTGTAAGGGGGAAGGGGTGGGTGGAGGGTTGTCACGTTGAAAAGGGTGCAGAGAGGTGTGTGATGTGGGTGGACGTACACCCTATTACCACCAGCTGATATATGTTTACACCTGTGTGTAGGGGGGGGTTGTCACATTTGAGAGAGTGCAGAGAGCTGTATTATGTGGGTGCATGTACACCCTTTTACCACCAGCTGATGCATGATTACTCCTGTGTGTAGGGGGGGAGATCGTTATGTTTGAGAAGAGTGCAGAGAGCTGTGTGATGTAGGTTCACCACACCCTTTTACCACCAGCTGATATATGTTTACACCTGTGTGTAGGGGGGGGGTAGGATTGTTATTTTTGAGAAGAGTGCAAAGAGCTGTGTGATGTGGGTTCACGGACACCTTTTACCAACAGCTGATACATGATTACTCCTGTGTGTAGGGGGAGGATTGATATGTTTGAGAAGAGTGCAGAGAGCTGTGTGATGTGGGTTCACCACACCCTTATTCCACCAGCTGATATAAGAGTACTCCTGTGTGTAGGGGGGGGAGGTTGTCATGTTTGAGAAGAGTACAGAGAGCTGTCTGATGTGGGTTCACCACACCCTTTACCAACAGCTGAATATATATTTACAACTGTGTGTAGGGGGGGGGAGGATTGTTATGTTTGAGAAGAGGCAGAGAGCTGTGTGATGTGGGTTCACCACACCCTTATTCCACCAGCTGATATAAGAGTACTCCTGTGTGTAGGGGGGGGGTTGTCATGTTTGAGAAGAGTACAGAGAGCTGTGTGATATGGGTGCATGTACACCTTTTACCACCAGCGATATAAGATTTCACCTGTTTGTACGGTGCGAGGGGGTTCACATTTGAGATGAGTGCATAGAGCTGTGTGATGTGGGTACAACACACCCTTTTACCACCAGCTGATATAAGATTTCTCCTGTGTGTAGGGGGGGGGGGGAGGGAGGGTTGTCATGTTTGAGAAGAGAGCAGATAGCTGTGTGATGTGGGTTCACACACCCTTTAACCACCAGCTGATATATGTTAACACCCGTGTGTAGGGGGGGGGGGGTGATATTCGCTAAGAGTGCAGAAGCTGTGATGTGGGTTTATGACCCCCTTTTTACCACCAGCTGATATAGATTACTCTGTGTGTAG